AGGAAGATAAACTTCCCATTCTTAAACTTTGCGTAGACACAATTGTCCTCAACATTATCTTTAAACCTAAAATTCTTTATTGTCTGATCAAACTTCAAGTACCACTGTCTTAAAGCTTGTTTTAATCCATAAATGGATTTCTTTAGGCGGCATCCTAAACGTTCTTTTCCTTCCATGACAAAACCTTTCGGTTGTGCCATGTAAACATTTTCTTCTAAGTCTCCATTGAGAAATGTCGTCTTTACATCCATCTGATGTAATTCTAAATTGTAATGTGCCACTAATGTCATTATGATTCTGAAGGAATCCTTACATGAGACTGGAGAAAAGGTCTCATTGTAATCAATCCCTTCTCTTTGTGTAAAGCCTTTTGCCACAAGTCGGGCTTTATATCTCTCTATATTCCCTTGAGAGTCAAGTTTTGTTTTGTAGACCCATTTACAGCCTACTGTTTTGGCTCCTTTAGGAATTATCTCCAAATCCCAAACTTTATTTGCATTCATTGATCTCATCTCATCTTCCATGGCCTCAAGCCACTTTGATGAATGATCACTTTTCATGGCTTCTTCAAATGAGGTGGGATCATCCTCCATTTGAAATTCTTCAGTGTTGTACACTTCATAATCAGCAGGAATAACTAATTTTCTAACTCTTTGAGACCTTCTAGGGGCCTCCTCATTTGGCATATTTTCTGTTTGAGGCTGTTGTTGCTCCCCCTCATGTGTGGCAATAGTTTCTATAGGATCCTGAGGAACAGATTCCTCATCATCATTCATTGTTGCCACAGGTGGTTTAACAACAGGTGCTGGCACCACAGTGTCTTGTACTGTCGATGCAGTAACAGCAGGTAGTGAGAAAAATGGCTCATTAATTATTGGAGTGGGTGCATACACCCGCTTCTCTTCAAGGTCAATTTCTCGAGCTACCATGCTCCCCCTAATCATTTCATCCTCTAGGAAGACAGCGTGTCTCGTTTCCACAAACTTTGTATGTCTGTTAGGACAGTACAAACGAAAACCTTTTGACTTTTCTGGGTAGCCAATGAAATGGCAACTCACTATTTTGGGATCTAGCTTTCCAATGTTTGGGTTAAAAACTTTAGCCTCAGCAGGGCTCCCCCACACATGCAAGTGGTTAAGTGAGGGTACTCTTCCTATCCACAACTCATACGGTGTTTTGGGCACCGACTTACTTGGTACTCTATTGAGAATATGAATGGCGGTTTTTAACGCCTCCATCCACAGACTCATCGGTAAAGTGGAGTAACTTATCATACTATGCACCATATCCATCAGGGTACGGTTACGCCTTTCAGCTACTCCATTCTGCTGAGGTTCGCCCGGTGTTGAATACTGGGCGACTATACCATTCTCCTGTAAGAACCTTGTAAAAGGTCCAGGAACTTGTCCATATGGGGTATGTCGACCATAGTACTCTCCCCTACGGTCAGACCTGACTATCTTAATCTTTAAATCATGCTGATTTTCAACTTCTGCTTTAAATATTTTGAATTTATCCAACGCTTCTGTTCTTTCTTTAATTGGATAAATTTAGCCAAACCGAGAGTAATCGTCTGTGAATGTTATGAATGAATCATAACCATCCACACTTTTCACAGAAAAAGGACCACATATATCTATGTGAATAATCTGTAGAATTCCTGCGCTTCGTTTGGCATCTTTCTTAATTTTCTTTACATACTTTCCTTTTATGCAATCTCTACATTGTTCTAAATCTGAGAGCTCTAATAGAGGAAAAATATCATTCTTAACTAGTCTTTCTATTCTCCCCCTTGAAATATGGCCTAAACGACAGTGCCATAATTTCGACAACGCATCGTGAGCTCTCTTTCGTTTTCTGTTTGCATTGTTCGATGAGGATACATTCTCATTCACATCACATACAGAATTCACATTTTCACGAAGTGATAACAAATAAAGCTCGTCTTGTCGGAAGGCAAGACCAACACATTTATTATTAAACAATATCTGCCATTTGCCATTTCCAAAATGGCAATCATAACCATCATGGTCCAACTTTGATACACTAATCAAGTTTCTTTGCAAAGAAGGTACATAAAGAACATCTCTAAGAAAAAGTATGAAGCCATCAGCAAGCTCTAGCAGAAGATCGCCAACGGCCTCAACATCTGCTTGTACTCCATTTGCGACTTTAATGAAACTTTCGCTTCTTTGCAAAGTTCTCATCGAACGGAATCCCTGTAATGAATTAGCAACATGAATAGTTGCACCTGAATCAATCCACCAAGTAGATTTTGAAAACTTTACATACAAGGATTCATTTACAAATGTAATGATGTTCTCACCTTTATTTTTCATAATCATCTTTAAGAAATCAGGACAATTCTTTTTATAATGTCCCGTCTTCTTGCAGTAGAGACACTGGTCTTTATCCACTGGGAATTGCTTGTTCTGAGACTGTTGCATGGGACCTTTTCCAGATGACTTGGAGGAAGAGCTGTTATTATAGTTCTTTTTCTTATCTTTTAGGTAGTTGACAGTACCACCCTGTGAAACTTTTATTCTTTCCTCCTCCTGCACACACATGGCTATGAGCTTTTCTAAATCCCATTTTTCAGGCTGTATGTTGTAATTAACAACAAAGGTGTCAAATTCTTTGGACAAAGAAGCAAAAATCAAATGAATGAGAAACTCATCCTTGAGTGCCAAATCCATTGGTTTGAGCTTAGATGCCAGATTGCTCATTCTCAGTATGTGCTCTCTAATGCCACTGCCGCCACCAGAGTACCTTTCTGTTACCAGCTGCTTGATCAGCTGGGTTGCATATGTCTTTGAAGAGCCAGTAAACTGACTCTTTATTCTTTCTAGGTACTCTGTGACCGTGTCATAGTCTGGAATTGAGCCACTATTGCAGGCTCAATTGTGTTCTTTATCACTGCCAAACACTTCTTGTTGGCAGTGACCCATTTCCTATGCTCAAGGTCATAGGACATCTTTACGGGAGCAAAGTCCTGCTCTCTGTTCTGCCATGCAACATCAGTCTCATCTGTCTCCCTCACCAGTGCCATAGGTTCTCTAGGACACGGTGTGGTGACAACCCAGTCCACCTCAGCGAGGATAAAAGCCAGGTCTATCTTTTTCTTCCACTCAATATAGTTATCACCTTTTAGAGTGGGGATCTCTTTGATACAACTCATCAAGTTGTATCCTCCTGAAAACACAATTCAAATAGTGTGAGAACACAAATAATAACAACAATAATTGCATGCCTTAGTTTAACGTTGGTCAACATTAAAACATACAATTATTTTATACATTAAATCTACATCACCGTTGGGCAGAAATAGAATTAATGCAAGACAAAGACATTATAATATTGCCATTAATCAACGTTGGTCAGAATAATAACAATATTATAATCAATTAAAACATATTCATTTTCAAAAATTAAATTCTCCCGTTGGTTCGAATTTAATAATGAAAATTGCATCTTTAAATACGCAGCGGAAAAATATTCAATTTGATGAATTTTACCCACAGGGAAAAATACTTTTTCTATTTCTTTTGAGCCAATTTCCATTTTTCAATTTTCTAGAAAAAGAAAATGCAAAAACCAGACTCAATCTTCTCTGTTTTGGCCCAAAACCGCAGAAAAAACGCTCGGCCCTTTTCTTTTCGCGCGCACAGGCCACACCCAGGCCGCAACCTGGGCCTAGGCCGGCAATGTCCCGCGCGTCCGTGCGCCCGCCTGGGCCGTGACTTGGCCCACTCGCTCGTGGCCGTCCGTCTCCATCCGACGGCTGCCCGCGCGCATCGCATGATCAAAAACCGGTGACCGCCGCGGCGCCCTTGAACCCTAGCGCCATTCGGCCTTCGCTCTCTCTCTCTCTTCGCCTCATTGCTCTCTCCTCTCCACTCAGTCCCACCACAGCAGTCACCGAGCGAGGAGCTTCGACGGCGAGAGCGAGCAGCGAGCCCCGGCGCCGTCTTCGCCCCCTTGCCGGCGTGCGCGCTCCCCAGCGGGTGAGCGCGCCGCCGTCGAGCGGCCTGGCCGCGGCGCCTCTGTGGCTTGTTCCGGCGAGCAGTTCACGCCCGACCGGCCCTTTCTTTTCCTCGTGTGGCGGCGTGCACGACGGCGAGGTAAGCCACTCCCTTCCCCTCTTCCCCTTTCGGTTTCTTTGATTCGTTTGTTCGGATTTTGCATGATTTCCCGATTAGGGTTAGGGTTAGGGTTAGGGACGGCACTGTTTTTCTTTTTCCCCAAATCACCTTTGGGTTTAATTCGGTTTCCAGTTTTCATCTCTATCCCAAAACCCGATCTAGGGTTTGGATGTTCGGTTCTTCACTTTTCCCGAACCATCATCTTTTCTCAGATCCGAAGGGATCGAGTTTAGGGTTCAATCGAACCCTTTGTTGGCCTAAGCCCTTTCTACTTTCTAGATCCGCACTAGATCTCTTCATCTTTTCCTTTTCTAATCGATTTATCCATTCTAGATCAAAACCCTAGCCATATCTATACCTAAATTGTGCCTTTGGTACCATTGTTAGAACTGTAGGATCATAGATCTAGCCTTTGACTGTTCTATTTGGTATAACATGTAAAATGGTAGATCCTAGGACATGTAGAACGGTCTACAGAGAGACAGGGAGAGAAAGGGAAGGGTACCGAACCTGAGACCGCAGGGGTGGAGGATCTAGTAGCCTCCATCAGGTTCGTCGATGTAGGCTGCGCACGGGCAGCGACGGTCGGTGAAGAGAGGCGACGCAGTGGAGACGGTGATGCAGTGCAGTGACGATGGGATGACGGTGATGATGGTGGTGGCTTCCTGTCGTTGGCTGCGCGCCCTCTGCGAGATCGGAATTAGGGTTTGTCGGTGGGAGTACGGCTCACGGTGAACCTCGTACCTCGAGCCGCCGGCCCCCACCTCTTTATATAGCGCAGTGAGACGGGGGCCCACCAACCATGTAGGGTTGGGCGCCCCCGATCAGGGCGCGTGACCAAGGCCCAATAGCACTTGATCAATCTAACAGCGACCACCAGTAGTTCACCGCCGGCGTAGCCAAAGCCACTCCAGCCAGCCTGCAACGACCGAGTCACAGAATTAGAGCATACAAGTTGATCGATCACCTATTCACCTGAACGGAGATGGTGATGTGCAAGCTGCTATAGCTGCTATCCTCCACGCTGGGTAGCCGCCCATGGAGCACCCTACCACGTAGAACTTGTCCCCGAACTGCAGCGCGTCGGCGAGCTCCTCGATGTCCATGGCGTCGCTCTTGAAACTACGCTTCAGGTTGGCATCACTATCACCGTACCCGGCTCTATCGAAGAAGAGCATGTATATGCCGAGCTCCTCCACAAGCTCCTGCATGCAGTCGTGGGTCCTCCACAACCTAATGAACTCTTGAGTATGAACACCCAAACACACAACACAACACGCTTCTCAATTCCAGTTTACGAAACGATCAAGAACAGCCGGCGTCGAATTTGTCCGTAGCCATGATCTTGCGCAATAGGCTGCACCGGCCGAAGAAAATTTCGGTCTTGGGTCGGTGCTGTTTGGGTAATGATAGCGAGCCTTTGATGCATCCCATGACACAGGAGTCCCAGTCCCAGGCGACTGAGTCCAACACGGCCGATTCGTGTGCCACTTTTGAACCCCATTTTCTACAATTCTCCCGGTCTAGGCTAATGATGTCTGGTGCCTGGCGCCTCTACGTATGCAACGCCTCTGTTCCAAAAAGCGATCAACGAGCCCCGTATGCATACACCTCGCGCGCGCCTGGGCAGGGCCACAGTAGGGGGCAGCTGGACTGGAGCGCACACGCTCACCTACTTCTCGCCAGCATCGACCTACACGCGCGCGCGCGCGCGGCGCCCTGCGTCTGTGGCTCCCTGGTGTGTTGGACACGTAGCGCAATGGCTTTGTAATATTTATGATTTTCTTATTTGACAAACTTTCTATTTATTCTTTTCCTATTTGGCACCATGGACTTCTACTACAAATAAGGGCATTTATGTCATTTTGCAAGCCATTTAACATCGTTATCGGTGAAAATAGACGGAAGTGCCATTTACGGAAGGAAATTTCAACTTGGTGCTAGATAAGAAAGTTCAAAATTTTGAGTGCTAAATATGAAAGACTGATTTGTTTCAGTGCCAAATGGATAATTCTCCCATTAATAGAAGGCGAAATGCCACTTCACCAATGTCGAAGAGAATACAGCGCCAGATGACTAAGGATGGAAGATCGAAGGGCTCCCTTAATAAAGGCAGTGTTTTCAGACCTAGATAGAATTAAAGCCAAGGATCTGGAATTGGCTATTTTTTAAAATCGGTTCTTCAGCCGGAACAAATGACGACTTTCGAGAAGGCTGGGGACCAATTACCCTTGATGACCAAGGGCAAAAGGACTGATAGAGTCACCTTATAAACCCGTGCATAGCCATAATACAGTCCCTCCTTGGGAAGTTCAAGCCAAATTAAGGTGCGTTATGCTGAAGTTTACAAGAATTTTGTGATGAATATCTTGGAAGATTTGTGCTGCCTTCGGCTGCGCGCTCTTGAAAAACAATGAAGCCCATAAACCAAGGATTGCAATGTTACGATTAAGGGGTTAGGAACGAGCAATTCTCTAAGAGAAGTTTGGTTTGGAGAGTAAAATTGCGGATCAGGTCAAAGGACAGCAAATCTGGCAAAAAATAGTCGACAAATTGAGAAGGACCTTATCGGATCCAGCGTTGTACGCTGGGTAATATTTATATTTTAGAAACACTAAAGAAGGATTCGGCAGAGCGATCAAATGGGAAATATTTAAAGGAATATTACCCTAAACGTTTGGATTAACACTTGACAACCAATTTGCTCGGTTGTCAGCTCTAATAGCCGATACCAGGAGGGTATCGTTTCTAGTGCGAAGGTAAACCTAGAAGGGTAAAAGCTAGTACAATGTGTATCGCTCGCAGGAGCAAAGCAAACATGGACAGAGTGATGCATATAGTATGAAGTATGAAATAAAAGGAGAAATCACTCAAGACAGAGGAATTGTTTTCTAATATCACCTATTACAAACTACGGGCCGGAAAACACTTTGGCTATTATATCATCAGCCTAGGAGATAAAGGCTACAGAGTTAGCAGCACTGAAGAAGTCCTCAATCAGGCGATCATAATCCCCAGGGTGCGCCGCTGGGGAGCTGTGGGGAAGGAATCGAAGCTCGTGGCCAGAATGGACTTGCGCAGAAGCCAATGCCATAGCAGCACCATGGCGAACGCCATGCAAAGCGACCTCTCTGACACGGTTTGGGACGTCATGCAGGCAAACCACTGGGATGACACCTCTAGCATTGACAAATCCCGCCACGTGCTCCGCAGCCAATTGGAGGCTCTCCAGTTGAGCTGTCAAATCTAAAAGATTCAAAGGGAAGATAATCAGAGTCTTGAAGATGAAATTGGAAGCAAGCAAAGGTTATAACAGAAATCTCACCTGTAATTCTGACCTCGGCCTTAGCCAACCTAACCTCTATAGAATCAGCCTCGAGAGGTGATCGACATCGAACCATGGCTAGAGCCGATTCTACGAGGGAAAGACATTCATCGAGATTCTGGCCATGTGAAAGCTCTAGTTTGGTTTTGGTGAATTGATGAAACCCTAAGTGCTAACCTAGTTTATCAAGTGATCATGAGATAGGTAGCACATTCCAAGTGGTGAAGCAAAAGAAGATCACGACATGATGATGGTGATGCCATGGTGATGATCAAGTGCTTGGACTTGAAATGAAGAAAGAGAAAAACAAAAGGCTCAAGGCAAAGGTATAAATTGTAGGAGCCATTTTGTTTTGGTGATCGAGACACTTAGTGAGTGTGATCACATTTAGGATCGATAGCCATACTATTAAGAGGGGTGAAACTCGTATCGAAATGCGGTTATCAAAGTGCCACTAGATGCTCTAACTCATTGCATAAGCATTTAGGATCTAGTGGAGTGCTAACACCCTTGAAAATGTTTGTGAAAATATGCTAACACATGTGCACAAGGTGATACACTTGGTGGTTGGCACATTTGAGAAAGGGTTAGGAACTTCACTGTCGGAGTGTCCGCCCGTAGAGTGTGGACAGTGCGATGGTGCCATCGGCGCCCTATACAGAAAAGAAGAAGGTCACTACAAGTGACCGGACACTGGTCTCGGTTGGACCAGCGCGTCCGGTCGGGTGGAGCATGAAGACGCTGGCATCGGTCTCTAACCAGATGCTGGGTCACTTAGTGACCGGACGCTGGAGGGGTGCGTCCGGTCCTGCTGATGTGGCAGCGCACAGAAGAGTCACCGTGTGACCGGACACTAGGAGAGTCCGGTCGAGGTCATGAAAAGTCATCTCTAGATGCTTACTAGAAATGATCGGACGCTGGGGCTCAGCATCCGGTCACCTTGAGCTGCTGCGTCCGGTCATCACTGGACCATTGAGATCGAGTACTCTGTATTTGAAGAGAGGGGACACATGGCATGCATCGCGTGACCGGACGCTGAGGTCCAGCATCCGGTCAATATGACCGGAGCGTCCGGTCACCCCATGTTGTGCCTAGTGAAAGGGTACAACGGCTCTATTTCGTGGGGGCTTCTATTTAAGCCACATGGCCGGTTCAAGCTTACTCTCTTGGCCATTTGCATTGACATAGCAACCTTGTGAAATTAGCCAAAGTCCTCCCACTCATCTCCATCATTGATTCATCATCTTTGTGAGATTGAGAGAGAATCCAAGTGCATTGCTTGAGTGTTTGCATCTAGAGGCACTTGGTGTTCGTGTTTCGCTGCGGGATTCGTTTGTTACTCTTGGTGGTTGCCACCACGTAGATGGCTTGGAGCAGTGAGGATCGTCGAGCGGAGAGCCAAAAGGTACTCTAGTGAATTGCTCGTGGCTTGTGTGATCCTCATCTTGTGTTGGTTGTACGGCACCCTATTGAGGGTTTGGCGTGTGATGCCAATTAGCTCGTGAACCTCCAAGTGAGTGAATCGCCACAACGAGGACTAGCTCGTCGGCAAGCAAGTGAACCTCGGTAAAAAATCATTGTGTCATTATTTGATTCTGAGGTGATTGGTCTTCATTGGTATTCTTCCTTGTGATTGATTGGTTCATTCCTCGACACGGCGGTATAACCTTTTGCTCACACTCTTTACATTACCGCAAACTAGTTGTCAAGCTCTTTAGTGTAACTAGTCGTGAGAGCTTGTTAGTTTGGTTAGTGTGGCTCTTTAGTTAGTCTTTAAGAGCACACTAACTTAGTGTAGTGACATAGCTATTGTGTGGATAGAAACTATATATAAACTAGAATTGTGGTAGGTGGCTTGCAATTTTAGTAGGCTAGCGCAACACTTGCTTCGCCTCATAATTGTCTAACCGGTTTGCTAAGTGTTGTTGTAGAAATTTTTATTAGGCTATTCCTCCCCCTCTAGCCATTAGGACCTTTCAAGTGGTATCAGAGCTGAGGTCACTGTAATTTAAGGCTTAACAACCTTTGGTGTAAAAATGGCTCAAATCAACAACACCAAGAAGCCATCCCAATTTGATGGCATAAATTATCCATATTGGAAATCAAAGATGACCACACATATCAAGTCAATCAATAGAAGAGTGTGGAAGGTGGTAGAAACCAAAATTGAGATTGAAGATCTGGAGAATCCCACCATGGCCGAAGAAGTGCTTCTCCAAAACAATGACATTGCTCTAAGTGCCATTCATGATGCAATTGATGAAAGAACATTTGAGCAAATCAAGAATATCGAGATGGCTCATGAGGCTTGGAAGAAGTTGGAAGAATCATTTGAGGGCACTCTAGCCGTGAAGGGTGCAAAGGCATATATTCTCAAAGAGAAGTTTGCAAGCTTCAAGATGAAGGAGGATGAGAGTGTGCGGAGATGTTCCATAGGCTTCAAGTGCTTGTCAATGATCTCAAAGCACTTGGAGAAGAGGTGAAGGACAAGGACTTCTCCCACAAGTTCTTGAGATGCTTGCCTTCAAGATTTGGCACATTGGTCACTATTCTAGTGAGGAGTGGTTTGGACACCATGACACCAAACTAAGTGTTGGAAGATATAATGACCGATGATACATATAGAGATGATGATGAGAAGGAAGAAAAGAAGGATAAGAAAGATGAGAAGGAGGATGAGAAAAAGAAGAGCATGGCATTCAAGGCCACATCATCCAAGGGCAAGGCAAGGCAAGATACATCAAGTGAAGATGATGGCTCATGGGATGATGATGATGATGAGAAGATGGCTCTCTTTGTCAAGAAATTTGGCAAGTTCATGATGAAGAAAGGGTACCATGCTAGAAGAAAGAAATCTTCATTCAAGAACAAGGAAGAGTCAAGAAG